ACAGAATGAGAGAAAATATTTGCAAACCATATATCTGATAAGAATATAGTATCAGAATATATAAAGAGCTCTTACAACTCAACCACAAAAAGACAATCCAATTAAAAAGCAGGCAAAGGACTAAAATAGACATCTCTCCAAAGGGGATATAAAAGTGGCCAACAACCACATGAAAATATGTTCAATGGCATTAGTCATTAGGGAAACACAAATCAAAACCATAATGAGATACCACTTCATACCCACTAGGTAGGCCATAACTTTAAAAAAAAAAAAGAAAAGACAAATAACAAGTGTTAGCGAGATATAGAGAAACTGGAACCTTTATACATTGCTGGAGGGAATGTAAAATGATGTAGTCACTTTGGGAAACAGTTTGGCAGTTCTTCAAAAAGTTAAACAGAGAATCGTCATATGTCCCAACAAGTTTATTCCTAGAAATATGCCAAAATTATTGAAAACAGGTATTCAAACAAATACTTGTACACAAATGTTCATAGCAGCAAAACTCCAAAAGGTTCCAAAAGGTGGAAACAATCTAAACATCCATCAATGGATGAATGGATAAAGAAATTGTGGTATATCCATACAATGGAATATTACTTGGCCACAAAAAGGAGTGAGGCACTAATACATGTTACAACATGAATGAAACTTGAAAGTATGCTAAGTAAAAGAAGCCAGTCACAGAAGGTCACATACTGTATGATTCTATTTAAATGAAACATCCAGAAAAGGTAAATCCATAGAGACAGAAAGCAGACTGGTTGCCAGGGCTGCAGGGAAGAGGAATAGAGAATGACTGTTTACTGTACATCATCCTTTTGGGGTGATGAAAATGTCCTGGAACTCGACAGAAGTGATAGTTTCACAACATTGTGAATGTACTAAATGCCACAGAATTGTATGCTTTAAAATGTGTTATGTGAATTTTGTTTCAATTTTTAAAAAAGAACCAAACTCCTAGAGTCAAAGCTTCGTCTAAGAAAAGGATGAGCCAGAAAGTAAAGAAGTGCTCAGAGAATGACAAGGACATATCAAAAGGACACAGACCCATCTGGGGGAGGATTATTCCTCAGCTAAGAGCTTGCTTATTTTAACTAGGACTGTCAATATATTTTTGTTTATAAGCTACATTAACAAAACTTACCTTTCAAAAATGTCCACTGTGAATGTCAAAGTATATTCTTGAGTATTTTATACCTAGTTGTAAACTTTTTTAAGAAGTCTTATTTTACACTTGTTAAACTACAAAATTATTTTCAGAAAATGCTTAAACATTACATTTTATATTTGAAATAAACATTTATTAAAAAAGAATACAGGAGCCAGCTTGAAAGGACTCCAACCAGCCAAATCTGGGACAATTTGAACATGTAGTGATTGTCAGGGTTGTCTTCATGGGCATGGAACTAGAACTTGACACAGGGCCCTGCACTCAGAATTTTAATGCTCTGCAGTCACTGTCTTAAAATTCTTAATAATTTTACCTTTGAATTTGTGTTTTATAAGTGAAATCTGATGGCACAATGGAGGATGCTGGAGGCTTGAAGCCTCTGCAGACACATGGCTCTGACTCCTGCCACTGCCCACTCCTCACCCCCTGGTCCCCTGGGCCCTACCCAGCCTTGCATTCACTACCTTACTCCAGGGCAGTGACTAAGTCACCTTGGCTGGGGGAGGCTCACATTCCGCCATCACCTTCCACCCGGCCAGGAGCGTGGATGTGAGAGCAGAAGGGATCAGGGTTGAGCCCATGCCCCATGGCACCATGGGGCGGGCAAGAAGGCAGGTATCACTACCGTAGTCTGTTAGCACCACAGTACATTCTATGTGCCACTCAGCAGGGGGCTCCTGCCACCACCACCCAGGAATCAAGAGCACCCCAGCATGGAGGCTACAATCCCTGGGGGGTGCACATTCGCCATGGGTTGGAGTGGTGGGTCCATGAGAAGAGGAGATTGACTTTCTCATCCTCACCCAGGGCTGTGCATCTTCATTCTGCACTAAGCCCCACAAATCATGTGGCTAGCACTGGTGACAGTAATAGACTGTAACTCACTGAACAAAATAGGAATCTGTGAATCATACTGACAGATCATTTCTGCAGTATTCCTACCAAAACGGTATAACCTGAATCTGTCTAATCATGAGGAAGCATTAAACAAACCCAAATTAAGGGAAATTTTACAAAACAGACCGGTATTCTTTAAAAATTTCAAGATCATGAAAGGCAGTGACTAAGGAATGAGAATAAATGAAACCAAAGAATCATGACAACTAAACTCATATGTAATCGTGAATTAGTTCCCAGACCAGAAAAAAAATTTTGTCTTGCTCTAAAGGACATTAATGGGACTTGGTAGAATTTGGATAAAATCTGAGATGAGATAATAATATCCTATCAACCTTAACTTCCTGATTTTGATTATTATACTATAATTATAAATGAGAATATCCTTGTTTTTAGGAATTGCACACTGAATACTTAGGGGTAAAAGGGAATCACATGGGCAACTTATTGTTCTCAAAGGGTTTAGAAAAACAATGTGTGTGTGTGCATCGACATACTCACACATATATAGAGATTAAAGCAACTGCAGTTAAATGTTAACATGTGTGGAATCTGGATAACAGGTATATGAAAATTCTTTGTACTATTTTTGCACTTTTTCTTTAAGTCTGAAATTATTTCAAAATAATATCTAAAAAGCTTTTAGAATTCTCTTCAGGAAATCCCATAGGATCAAGTTTAGTGGCCCCCTTGAAAATCTACCATTGTTTAGGCTTTCCCCCTTTAATTCTCTTATTCTCCCTATCTTGCCCTCCTGATCTTGGAGTTAGAATGGATTTGTGATGAGACTGCAGAACCACCACCTGATTATGTTACCTGGGAAGGCCCTGATGATACTCCTTTCACTGAGGCACTGGTGAGGAGGCCACTGACATCTCTGAAAAGCACAATGGTGGATGTCCTTTATGAGCTGAGACTGACAGAAGATGCTGCTGCAACAGGACTCCTGAGTATCAATTAGAAACAAAAGAATGTCCAAATGGCAAAGAACAGATGGCAGGCCATAAGTACTATAATGGGAAGCCAGGCTGGGGTGCAACCAGGGTGTCTTGACCCACAGAGATCTGTGATGGTGGCTTATAGGTCATGGTGTTCTGAAGGAAAAGATAGATGGGGTGTTTTTGTTTTCAGGAGAGAAGGGGTGTTTCTTGACTCAAATATTTTTTAAAGAAAATCAAGAACTAGTGAGCAGAAGGCTGTCAGTCTCCACAATGGCAATCATGGTCTTTCACCAGTTTCCTGATTTAAGTCATTTCACAGACTTAGAGCCAATGACTGAAGAAGCTGTATTCACCTGATGAAGATGAATACCACAAGAATTATACCAATGCCACAAGAATTATATCATAAACTTTCCTCTGCTCCTACCAAGAGACCAAGGCCTTCAACCAGGATAAATGTGCATTGGGGAAAGAGGAATTCAGACTTTGATGACTGCAAGATCTGAGTTGAAACTGGTACAAGGAGGCTCTAAATGCTACCACAGTCCCTCAGTTTAGAGTGGGGGCTTGTGGGGGTGATAAGATATGTGCACGTTTGGCCCAAATTTGTTTTACAGGACCCACTCTGTCATTCCATAGGATACATTCCATAGGATACATACATATACTCAGTAGCTGGCAGAAACCTCACACTGACCTTAAAGGAAGAGCCCCTGCCTTAGTCTGTGCAGACTGCTATTAAAAAAAAACACCATTAAATGAGTGGTTTAAAAAAACAGGTATTTTTTTTTCTTACAGTTCTGAAGGCTATGGTGTCCAAGATCAAGGTGCTGGCAGATGCAGTGTATGATGAGGCCTTCTTCCTGATTTGCAGACAGCCACCTTCTTGCTGTATCCTCACATGGGCAAGAGAGAGAAACAGCATCTCTCTTGTATCTTTTCTTATAAGGGAACTAATCCCATTGATAAGGGCTCCACCCTCATGACCTAATTACCACCCAAAGGCCCTACCTCCAACTACCCTCACATTGGGGATCAGGGCTTCAACATATGAATGGGGAAAAGCATTCAGTCCATACCACACCGTTATTATAGAAAGGACCAACTGAAAGCCCCTAAATCTGCTTTCCCTGGCTCCAATAGTAAATTAGAAGCGATTCAGGCAAAAAATTGCAGACGTTAATGCCACCTTCAAAGATATGAAGTATATGTGGGGGGGGTTCTCTCTATAACACCATTCAATTCACCTCTGTGCGCCCTGCAAAAACTAAACAGAAAAAGTTCTCGGGACGGATGGTGATGGTGGTCACACAACAATGTCAATATATTTCATGCCACTGAAATGTACACTTAAAAATGGTAAAAACAGTAAACTTTATGTTATGTATATTCTACACCGCACACACATGCTAGATGGATTATGGCAGGGAACAATGGACTACCTCAACTGCAGCTGCTATTCTGGATGCAGTGGGTTTTTTTCTTCTCTGACAGTTTTGTTGAGATATAATCTCACACAATAAAGCTTTAAAGTATACAATTCAGTGGTTTTTGTTTTTCTTTTTTTTTTTTTCGGTACGTGGGCGTCTCACTGTTGTGGCCTCTTCCGTTGCAGAGCACAGGCTCCAGGTGCGCAGGCTCAGCGGCCATGGCTCACGGGCCCAGCCGCTCCGCGGCATGTGGGACCTTCCCGGACCGGGGCACGAACCCGTGTCCCCTGCATCGGCAGGCGGACTCTCAACCACCGCGCCACCAGGGAAGCCCAGTGGTTTTTAATATATTCACAAAGCTGTCATTGATCACCACTATCTAGTTCCAAAATATTTTCATCAACCTAAGAAGTAACCCTATATCCATCAGCAGTCACTCCCTATCTCTTCTTCCGCTTAGTCCCTGGGAACTACTAATACACTTCGTTTCTACACATTTGCCTATTCTGGACATGTCATATAGAATCATACAATATATGGCCTCTTGTGCTCAGCTTCTTTCATGTTTCAAAGTTTATTCATGCTGCAGCACATATCAGTATTTCATTCCTTGTTATAGCTGAGTAATATTCCATTGTGTGGATATACCACAACATGTTTATCCATTCACTGGTTGAGACATTTGGGTTATTTTCACTTTTTGGCTATTATAACAATGATTCTATGAGCATTCATTTACAAATTTTTGTGTAGACATATGTTTTCACTACTCTGGGACATATGTCTAAAAGCAGAATTGCTGCGTCATATATGGTATCACTATGTTTATCTTTTTGAGGAACTTCCAAACTGTTTCACAGCAGCTGCACTGTTTTATATCCTCACCAGCAATATACGAGGGTTTCAACTTCTCCACATCCTTGTCAACACTCATTATTTGCCCTTTTTGACTGTAGTCATCCTAGTATATGTGAAGCGACATCTCACTGTGGCTTTGATTTGAATGGCTGCAGTACCTTTACCGGAAAAAACAAAAAACAAAAAACAACTCATTCCCTGGCACTTGTTATGTGACTACCGAACTGACAAACCAATCCTTCCCAAAAGGAGGATCAAAAACAGTTCAATTTCGCATGATGTTAAATAGGATTATCATTCCTTGGATAACAGGATTATATATTCTTGCCTATGGTCACAGGCAGGAATACACTTGACTGTGTATCCTGTGGCAAGAGTCTTTTTCCCTGGCCTCACCTTTGGGCAGGACCTTGTGACATGCTCTAAACCAGCAGACTCTGAAGAGACATTTGCCACAGCTGAGCAGACATTTACAATTCATGTTTCCTTTCAGTCTCTCGCTCTCTTAATCCTAAACTCTGTCATATCCTAGATAGGGGCTACTCCTTGAGCCTGGGGCCCACAATGAGAAGACACACAGAACAGAACCCCAGTCTACCGACAGACAAGCCAAGCCTGTCACACAGTAGATACTTGGTATGTGTTTTAAATTTACATATATTTTTCAGTGTGCATAGAAGAAAAACAGTCTCAAAAGCTCAAACTATTAAAGGTGCTAATTAAATCAATGTATACTGAAAAACAGTAATTTTCACTTTGTTCATTCTGTATTGTTTGGTTTTTTTTAATGAGGTGAACATGTACTACTCTGTAATTTCTTATTCACATTTTTTTTTTTAAATTACGTATGCTGGTCTCAACATAGTTTAGATTAAGTTACAATGAATTTATTTTTCAAAAAAATCAATAAGAAGAAATGAGTTGATTTAAAGCATTTTGTACATATGTGATTACATTTAAGCTTTCGTTGTTAAATATCAGTTCTTAGCGATTTCCAAAAAAACCCTTTAACTATGTGAATAGCTTCGTAATAAATTAACTCCTCCCTGACCACCATTATAATGCAAATTTGCTTGGTGGGTTAAGTAAACAGAGCTGTGGCTTGTTTGCCACCCTATGTGACACCACCTACCTTCTCAAAAACCTCCATTTGACCTGAGCCACCCCAATTCTCAATTTACTCCTCCATTCTGCCTGGGATGAGAAAGGGCTGGGATTGAAAGACTTCTAAAGTATATTAAAGCAGGCTAATTGTAGGCTGAGGGGCATCCTGCCTGAAGTTAACTTGGTTAATTTAATCTACAAACACAACTGTAAACAACATTCCCAGCTAGTTTATACAGTCTAGACTGCCAATGTATAGGCCACATTCCCAGAAAAAAGAAGCTTCAACTAGGAAATAAAATATTCCTTAAGACATTCATTTTTGCTTAAAAGGAAAGTACTAATCTGTCCTGGTGAAAAGACATAAAATGGCAAATAAGAATACAGGAAACATTAAAATTGACAGTGCTAGTTTTAAAACTAATTTAAAATCATTATCTATGATTTATTTACAATTAAAATTAAAATATATTTGATAACTTTTTACTAGATTATTTATAGTCAATGTATAATTTCAATGGAACTTTAAGCAATTACAGTTCGACTCCATGTAGTATTAACTTTTCTTCTCTTCTGAGTCTTGTACCAATTTCAACTTTTCTTTTAATTCCTTCTGATCTCTGGAATACTGTTCAAATACTGGTTGATAAATATATATGCCTCCAGCAATTCCAAGGATGGTAGCAAAAAGCAGTTGTGGAAAAGTCAATCTTCCAAACATTTTTTCAACAAACACCGCACAGTGCAAGGGTGGTTTCCAGGATATCTCTTCAGATCTGTATACAAAGAAAATGGGAAGCAAAGCACTAACTTAGCACAATATCCTTTATAAAGACTTCATGTCACAACTTTGCTCCTGCATGAACAGTATTTTTGTCATAATATGTAAATATGCTTACTGATGTAACTAAAATAGGAATCCAGATACATAGGGAATATGAGAAATTACGGTTAGGGGATGGGGTAAAATAAAGCTAAATCCTGTTACAGAATGTTTTCAGTGGTTTGGGGGCTTTTTTGTTTTTGTTTTTTTGGACAGCAGGAAACACTTTATTCCCAGGATCTCAGCAGCCCTGTGGCCACTGGTTAAGAATCCCCAGTGTGGGGAGGGCTAGTTCCCATAGTCTGGCCCAGGGTGGCAGGCACTGGTGGTCTGGGTTTGCCCCAGGGACACAGGCATGGCGGAGAAGGGGGTTACTCTTTCCGGAAAATTAGGCACTTGTTGGCTGGTATGTCCACCATCCTCTCCAGGAGCAGCCCACTGGCCTGGCCCAGGTCCTCCAGAAGGGCTATATCCCGCAGCCCCCACTCTGGGTTCCTGCATCAGAGGGTCAGGTCAAAGTCCACGTTACTCTGGGGAGAAATCTTCCCGTTGATGGCACAGGGCCCATAGGTGATGAGGAGCGCCTTGCGTTTGAGCAGGTGTCCTGCTGCTCTGAAGAGCCCCTCGGTGCAGCTCAGGGGGCTGATGTGGCTCATGTCGATGCAGAGTAGCAGATCCAGAGATTGCGGCAGGATCCCGCCCCACTGCTCCCAATCTCACCTCACGTCCAGGTACAGCGGGGCCTTCACGTTGGATAGTCCCTGGGCCTGAGTGGTGGCCAGGATGCTGTCCAGGCAGCTCTGATCCACGTGGTTCGGCTGCCATTCGGCATGGTGGAAGGCCCGCCCGAAGTGGGCCGTGTCCTGGCCAGAACCCGAGGCCAGCTCGAGCACGCGGCCACCGCACACAGCCGCAGCATGCGCAGGATGGGCTCCTTGTTCCTTTCCGCGGCCGCCGCCACCAGCGTCTTTCTAGTCCTGAGCGGCGTGGTCCATCGGCAGTGGTAGTCCAGAGCCGCTGGGCCCGTCGGGAGTGGTGGTGCAGTACCGCGGGGCCCGTCGGGAGTCTTCAGTGGTTTTAATGGATGATTTTTTAAATGGCAATAGTGTGAGAGAGGGGAGAAGCATACTCTTTATGCCTTTAAAGGCATACCAAACCTACTGAAAGAAACAGCCCCCCAAAAAAGTTGAAAGTGATCGCCAATCCCATCTGGAAGTAGGAGAAAGAGATTTCTTACTTTTCATTATTAGCCTTTCTTTACTATTTTATGTTTTTTGGCAATATGTATGATTAAAAACAATTTTTAAAAACAAGCTAAAAGATTTTCTAGTTCCTTTTGATGCTGTAGTAGGTACATATTGACATCACCTCTAAGTCATTTGCCATCTATTTTTGACAAAAATATAATGAGGATTTGGCTGGTTTTACTTTTAACAATTGAGGAGTTAAGGCTCTAGAACTTCTCAGAAAATTATACTCCTTGCTATAGTCTATAGCCTGTGAGAAGTCCTACAGGTGCAGGAGACCCTAAGCAGATGTTTATGAACGAGGAAAGCAGAGCGAAGAATTTACACGTTTTCTTTATTACAACAATATTTCACAGCCTCCTAAACCAGCTCCCAAGGTCACAAAAATCAATAGGAGCTTAATAATTAGTAGCTTGCTCTTAATATATTGCTAAAATTGTCATTTAAACTAATCGGGGTGGGGGGGAGACTGTTTCTCTTGGACTCTACAGCTAACTGGATAAATGACAACTTCACCAAGCGTGGTTTGGTTCAATGACCGCTAGGTATAAGAAAAGGAAACATTTGCAAGTCAGCTCCTTGGAAAACAATTAAACCACACAAACACGGCAAGGTTCCCCTTCTGCCACTAGCTCGCTAAGTAACCCTGACCAAGTCCTTTAACGTTTGGGGGCCTCATTTCCCACAGGCTAAATTACCCCTACCCTGCCTACGTCGTTCAACAAATACTTATTGTGAGATCACCCAAAGAGTGCAATGTTACACCAACACTTCCGTTTGTAATGAAGACTACTATCATCATTACCACTCAGAGACCTCTGACAGTCCCGCTCAGGCTCCGCGCCGCCTCCCGCCTGCCCCCGCAGAGGCGAGATCCGGCTCCTTTCTGCAGTTTCCGGACCGCCAGCCGCAGAGACCACGAAGCCAAAGGAGGGCAACAATCCCTCGAGAAAGAAACGTAGGCTGGAAAGCAGGGACTAGCCCGTGGCGAAGCGCAGAAGCGTTGCCTGAACATGCAGCAGTGCGCCACAGGGACGCTCAGCAGAAACCAGCCGCGGGCGTGGGCGTAACCAAGTTAGCTTTTCCCGGCTACCTCCGCGCCTGCCAGAGACGGCCGCTCGCAAAGGCCAAACTTAGTGGGCGGAAGAGCGCGCTGCTTCAGCTGCCCAGGGCTGGGGACGGTGACGGCTGGCTGTCCCCAGCAGACCTCGAAGCAGATGCAGGATGGAGCGAGAGGGCGGCGGCGGCAGCCTCTTTTTCCGTGGTCTCCAGAACCGCTCCCACGAGAAGATGAAGCTGAGAACGAGAAAGTCCACCTTGTACCTCAGCCAGCAGAAGAGCACTGGGCGCGGCGGAGGTGAGTGAGTGGGTGTGGAAGACGAGCGGAGTGGCGGTGGCGGGAAATCGCCGACACTGAGCGAGGGCTCCATCTGCTGGGGTGGGGGGGGCGGGGGCAACAAATCACTTTGCTTTCGAGAAGGGATCCTCGATCCCTGTCGTTTGCGCGTCAGTGTTTTCTGCATTAATTTGTGCCGTCCTCCCCGCAGCCGTGTGAAGTGAGTGGGCATGATGTGGCCATCCCCTTTTCAGAGAGGGGGTCGCCACCCTGGCCCAGTGTTCCCGAGGTTTCGTAGCTACGGAGGGGCTGATTCCTGGAGTGGGACCAGGTCTGACCCCCCGCCGCACTGCTTTTTCTTCACTGCCCCCTCCGCCTTTTCTTTGGTCCTGATGTAATGTTGACAGGAGAAAAATCATCCCAGCAAGTGGGATTTTGATCTGTCGGAGGGGTATTTACTATAAAGATGGGCTCCTCATTCATTCATTCATTATTTATTGTGCGCCTTTTATGTGCCAAGCGCGGTTGTTCAAGGGCCACTTCTGAGTACAGTTTCTTCTGCCTGAGTCTACGGACTAGAGAGAAGGAAAGGAAAGAACAAGGTTTTCGGACAGCAGATACAGTGCAGTCGGGAGGTTTGTTTCTGAAAGATGAAAGTTCAGAAGGGGTATGTGGTGTTGAACGTACCAGTTGTCTGAGAAACATTTAAAATGTGTTCCTGGAAAAGAAGGAAGGAGAGTGGCAGGAACCCGGAATGTTAGCAAAGACTCACAGTGGATCAGAGGCAGGTTGCAAACTCAAGTCCTCAGGAGGCCGGACAGGCAAGGCTAAATATTATATACATAAGAAGTCAAAGCACCCTATATTTCAGTACCAGCCAGTTGTTCCCAGTTGAGCTCTGTGTTGCCAGATCTTAGAGTTTTGATATGCTGCAATACAGATGTTAATATAAAACCTGATTTTTAAATGTTGGCAACTAAATTCACATTAAAAAAAAATATTGTCTACAGGCAGTCCATTTGTGATTAAGAGCAGGTCTTTGGAGTCAACATACAGACCCGATTTTGAATCCTGTTTATTTACAACCGTTTGACTTGGGAGAAGGCAGTTTAACTTCTGAGCCTCAGTTTCCTCATATATAAAATAGGGCTAATGATATTTTCCCCATAGCATTGAGGACTAAATGAGATAGTGCATGTAAAGGAACGAACTCAGTGCCTAGCATATAGAAAGTATCAGTAAGGACTATTTTAAAATGCGTAGAGGACCATTTTATATGCTAGTATATGCACATTATACAAAGTGTCGCTTCCTATGTTAGTAATTTGTTAGCTGGTTTCTTTCATTAGATATACATATAGGATAACCTAATTAGCCTAAGGCCTTAGTTAACCCAGTCTTTTTCAAAATGTATCTTAATATTCTCTTTATATTAATAAGTTGCCAGAAGGATTGGTGAGGCTCTGGCCTTTGTCTAACTTTCCACCCAGGTCTGCTTTGAGAGTAGTGTGGAGGGGCCAGAGTTCACCACTGCTTTAACAGAACCTGAGCAAGGGGCCAACCAGAGCAGCAGATTTTAGCTCCCCAACTGGAATTTGCCTGACTTTTGTGCTACAATTACCTGTTTGTTCATTTTTTGTTGTTTTTTTTTCAGATCTTCTTGGTGAAAACATTTATCTGGTCTTGTTTACCATAGCATTACGAATATGTAACTGCTTTTTAGTCCAAACAAGTTTTGTTCCAGATGAATACTGGCAGTCTCTTGAAGTTGCACATCACATGGTTTTCAAATATCCTTTGTAGTTTCTTTTCTGGACTAGAAATGTGTATTCATCTTAGGAACTGTGTCAGCTCCATGACATATTTTCAATAAATTTTCCATATTTTCTCCAAATAATTTTAACTTATAAAAGTGTGCCATTATTTTACACTAATATTTCTTCTATATCTTTCTTTGATGTTAGTGTACCTGACTCAGGCTTTAGCATATATTCCCAAAGGGTTCAGTAATGTGGAGGACATAGATGAAGTAAAAAATGCATTCCTGCTTTGAAGAAGTTAACAGTTTAGTTGGCCAACTGCATTTTTACTTCAGATATCCAGTGTAAAATACTATTTTTTTAAGCTTCTTTGCCAAAAAATAAAAGTGTTTTATATATAGAACTGAAAAGAGGTTTTGTTTCAGTGCTATTTAACATTAGTCCTTAATATTACTAATTATGGTTATTTGACTTGGGAATGGAGAGAAAGATTGAGGGGTTACACTTACCCCTTAATCTTTGCAAGCATATACAAGATTCTGCACCTTTTGGGGAAAGATAGTGTTCAGTTGCTGGTAAGTTTAAATAAAAGTAATCAAAATAGTCATTAACAGATTTATTCCATCCCTTTTTTAAGGTTAATGTATATTAACTAAATGATAATATTGGTATCATGAAGTTTGTTTTTAAAAGACTACTGTTGCTAAACTCAGACCGCATCTGGGAAGCCCAGGGTTCAAAGACATACTGTGATGTGTAACTGTTCAATATGTGCTAAAACATAAGACTGAGCATGAAAGTGTTCTGCTGTGAGCAATCCTGTTAAGATATACAGATTCTCAGAATGACTACATTATATATTATTCGTACTTTAGAAGTAAATTTCCTTCATAAAAGGATCACTTAAGAGCAGTGTTGTATCTTGCTTTTTTTAACTTGTGAGCAGATCATGTTATATGAGCCTATGAAGACTAGACTAAATACATGTAAACCCACTCAGGATTTAGTGTTGAAATTACAAATTAGGAAAATTAATTTGACAAAAATATAGTGATATATACAATCATTGTGCTATGTAGTAATTAGCCATCAATAGTGAGCAGGGATGTAATCCCTAGATCATGAACTTTGGGGGTCAGTCACCAGGAGAGGATACAAAAGAACTAATGGTGCAAAAGTTTTTCTAACCTCATTCTCAATATCTTTAAGCTATCATCAAGTTGGACTCAGAAGTTTGGGCCTTCCCCATTTTCTGTTAGGGAAGTGGCCCAGAATTCCAAAGGCAGTCTAAATCCTGAAGGGTTTTTTGAAGCCTGGAAAGACACTGAGGTTCTGGAGTTTTGGTTTTTGTTTTGGTTTGGTTTTCTTAGGCTGTATTGTACCCTCCCCTTTGCAACGGTATTTGATTACCCATTATCGAGAAACAGGACCATATCGGTAAAATTGATGCTTCATTTGGGAATATCACAGGGAAGGAAAATTGAGAGCAGTAGCAGGGTTTCTCCCATTAACACATGTAGAAGTTAGGAACTATGAATTCTCTTTCCTTCTCTCAGGGCTACCCACTAGCTTCTAGATCAAGAAGGATATTCATAAAGACTCGAAACAGGGCAAATATATATAACATCCCAGAAAGTAGGTTATATTATGAATGAAGGAGTCTTCAAGATTGAAAAACTTCCTATTCCTCCACGATCTATCCACTGCCCTCAACCTGTAGCTGACCCACCTGGCCATTTTGTGATTTAAAGGAAACCTCCTCTCGTCCCCATCCTACCCCACTCCAATACCCCTCCACCCCTGAAAAAACCTCTATCCTACCTGGAACTTGAGCAGATAGAGAACCATTAAGATGCTATCAGTCAGTCATTCATACTCTCATATTGATTATTTTAAAATATAGATTATACAATTTTGAAACTAGAAGGGTCAGAGAAGGGATGAAGAAAATAGACCAAAGTCACAGCATGTTAAAAGCTAAAACTAGATCCTAGGTCTACTTATTTACAGCCTAGTGTTTTTTCTAGATAGCTCCTCTCTAAACTGCGTAAGGTGTGTGAAAAGAACTAGGGATGGCTTAAAGCTCTGCTGTCCAATATGGTAACCACTAGCCACCTGTGGCTACTGAAGACTTGAAATGCAGCTAGTCCAAATTGAGAAGTGCTATTAGTGTAAAATACATACCAGACGTCAAAGAACTAATACAAAATAAGAATGTGAACTATTTCTGTAACTTTTATATAGATTAAATGTTGAAATGATATTTTAGATATAATGAGTTAAACAAAAGCACTAAGATTAATTTTACCTGTTAGAGATTTTTTTTTTTTTTACTTTTTGACTACTATAAAATTTAAAATTCGGTATGTGGCTCACATTGCATTTCTACTGGACAGCTCTGGCTTAGAATATGTGAGAAGAAAGAGGGATAAGAAGGGAGACCTGTGGGAGTACCACAGTGGGGGCTTTGAACAGTCAGGAGATGGCACAAAGGCATGTGGCTCCTAGAGCTTAAGGGAGGAGGATCTTAAAGAGCAGGAGTGTAGAAAGGTAAGCCGCCAACACAGGCCTCACCTTCAGGGTTTACCCCTGGCATGTTCCTGCTCCTCTTTACCCCACCGCCCTAGTTGTTATTTTCCAGAAGCCATGTGTAACTGTTTAATTCTGGTCAGGTCCTTATAACCTGGAAAATAATGATATCTTAAAAGTCTGGAGAGACTGCTAATAACTGGGAATTTACAACTCCACTTATTTTTGTGCTGAGCTAAAATCTACCTTCTCTTAAATTCAAGATTTCTACATGACAACCCTTCAAAAAAGTTTTATTTATCCAGGATAATCTCCAGTTCTAAACCTCATAATCAGATAATGTCCTCTAAACATCTTCTAATTTATTAATGTCCATCTTAATATGTGGGTCTCGAAACTGAACACAATATTGGAAGCTAGGGTAACTAGCTCAGAATATAGTGAGAGCATTAACTTCATAAATACTATACTTCTCTCAGTGCACAAGAATCCTTTTAGTCTTTTAGTGGCTACCTCAACACTCAGCTCCTATTAAGTCTGTAGCAAAATTAACTTTTTACATGAAGTACTTTCATACCTGGGAGGTGAGGAGGAAGCTTATAGATTCTTATGTGGGGCAAACAGAAGGTGAGTACAGAGGTGCCTTTTACTGTATTTTACAGTGCACAGTTTATGTGGAATTATGAAGTACAATGTACCTTTAACTCTAAGATTTAAACATTTACAGATTATTGATAAAGGATG